AGCAGGATTTGTTGTAGCGATGTTTTCATTTGTCATACCTTGGACACGCCTAACAGTTTTCACTATGCAAGCTTGCAGGCAAGAGTATAAAATATGTATGTCTAATCAATATGAAGTTAAACAAGTTTCAGCATTTTTGTTTGCTTATGTTGCAAGCCATCTTGGGTTTTTTTCCCCAACAATGCTGTCAATGCTGTAAATAGACTAAGACTATTATTCATTATGTTGTTGAACCTTTTCCTATTGAGTTTACGGTATGTTATGTTGTCAGTATTACTATACATTTTAAAGAGGACATATTATACCCCATTTCTACCTTTTCAAACAGTCCCCTGTGGTCTAATGAAACATCTGTGCTGTGCTTTGGTCAGAATATAACATGACTCAATTTATTTATCAGAATCCCACTGTGATGTCACAAGGAGAGCAAATTTGAAATGGAGCTTTTTTATCTGTGTTTGTAAGACTTATGCAGATCACAAACAAAGGACTGGATGGGCTTGTTTCACATTTTGAGGGTCAGTAGAGTCTCAGGTTACCCAAATATATGTTCAAAAACACTGTAGAAGTGGATTTTTCATAATAGCTCACCTTTAACGTGACTCTTAGAGTTGCTCAACTTTAACTTCTATAATGAACATAACCACTCCTCCCTGTTTCATCATCATTACAGTCGCTATGTTAAAATTAGGCTGAAAGTCTATTATCATACCTAGCTGTTACTCAATACTACACATTCTTTTTCCATTATTCCTGATATTGTTGCTATAAATCTACTTATTGATTGTATTTGTTGTTGTTGTTGCTCTGTTTGTCCCTATCCATCTCTTTCTTTCTGCATCTCCCTCTATCCCACTTTAAAAGCCCAACACAGTTTGGATAGATCTTGTTTGAAGATGGATGCAGTTTCTTAGCTCTTAACTTGGCGTTTCATAACCTCCTCTCCAACTCTGACCTTCTTTGTTTTTTAAGTCACTTCTGACTCTAGCTATAACCACTTGAAGGTCAAAATGTTTTACTTGTAGGTTAAATACAGTAGTCAACAAACCAATTGGTCAGCTTATACATAATTAAGTTTTATACAGATTAAAGTGTTTTGAAACTGATCCCTAACTCTCTGTTCATAACATTTAATATAAATATATAGCCACTAACTGGAAGACACCTCAACAACGATCACAGCACCCCTCAAACATTCACAGCTATATGAAGTTAAACATTCAAACTGCAGGCTTTTTTAAAGAAAATAAACATAAATAACTAATCCATTGAAAAGCTAATACAACTTAATCTAGAATTTAATTTCTAATTCATATTCCTGTATGAAAGCACTTTGTAAGGTTACAGGTTTATTGTGAAATGGCTTACTACACATTCGTCTGGCCCTTTAGGGGACATCACTATGTTAATGGAGTCCATCGATACAACACTGACACTGATAATAAGATAACTTTCATGTAGCAAAAACAACATGATCTCATTACAGTACAGGTGCTGTCACGTTTGAAGGACACTGTCAGCAGATTTGGACAAGAAATGCTGAAGCATGATCTACTTCATGAGGAGACTGAATGAGATGACAAAGGGACAAATGCATTCAGTACCCTGATTTCTATTAGATGATTCTTAATTGAAACTCCAGAATTCACTTATTTCCCCTCCTAAGCAAACAAGATTACTTCCCATGAAGAAGAAAATGCTCATCAGTATAATCTACAGTGTAAACTGTTTCTCTAGTCGGTTGAGTATCTCACATACAACCAAGGATAAGATGGTTTAAAAGATAATGAAAATTCAGCTTATTTAAAGTATAACTTTGTTGACCAATTACATTCTGCTCCTTGTGAGTAACTTCACCACACAGCGTAATAACTGAGAGCAAACAAACTTGAGCAGGCAGACAATTTAGAGATAAACCTCCTGTGTCATTACAGTATCCTATATGACTGAGGCAATAATGGATTCTTTGAATTGATATTTCCCTCTTCTCACCTTGATGAGAATTATCATTGTGTTGTCTGGCTGCCAAATTCATCATAGCTTGGAAATAATCAGAAAAGGAAGAAGTGCTGAAAAGGAGAGCATTTTTATGATTTAATAATTTTATTCATGAGGTTCACCTGGCCAAAAAAAGGGGTTTGACAAAACTAGTAGAAAATGTTAGGCTTAAAGTCACAGTGACAATGTCAGAAACATTTTCATACTGAAATTCTTACAGCGCTGGACATGATTAGATGTTGTACCTCAGCTTGCAAAATATGACAGCATCAAAGGTAAGGGGTCTTATTTTAGGTTATTATATATTTCTATACTGTACTTTTATAAGGTGTATTCACCTTGATGATTTGCTAATGGATCCCACTCTTCCCTGACCTGTGACCTGATTTTTGGACATCAAGCAAAAAAAGAAATCCATCTTAGTAGTTTCACAGGTACAATAACCTCTGTTTGACAACACGATTATTGTACGATTAATACAAACTCAAATGCTTTCGATGAATAATTGATGTTATCTGCCATGTTCCTCTCCATCAGGCTCTTGGCACTGCGGCTCACTTCACTAACAGTACATTGCCCTGTAAAGAGAGACACACAGCTTTTTCTAAGTGCCAAATAAAACAACCAAAAGTAGTTGTACCATCAAAACCATAGGGGGATTCTCTGTGTTAATAAATACTGCTGTCAGAAAATAAAATCATCCAAGCCAACACCAAAAGCTTTGCAAGACAACAAACAGCCTCATTCATTGTGAGCTTTACTGCAGGAGCGTTACCATAGCAACATCCAGCACTCAAAGTACTCATCGAAAGTCTTTGGTTGAAATTAAAGTTAATATTGCACAAGTGAGGAGTTTCTACCCCTTGGCTAACAGTGCTATGAAAGGGTATGACACAGAAGCTGGAAATAGAAGACCAGCTGTACGACACAACATAGCCTCTTTGTACTTGTGTGTGATTACAATTCAAAACTGAAATTATTTAGTGTTGTTACGTAACTTATGGATCACATGGCAGGTTAAGAAATAGCTATAAATGTAATGTTTTAGGGAGGAATGGGTCAAACCATAAAGCTGACAACAGTTCCACTTACAGGATGATGGAAGATGGAGTCTATGTGCAGGCTAGAGGCTTCACTGCCAATTAGAAAGGAGGAAGAGATGGGCAGGAAAGGAAAGGAAAGGATGGAAGTGGATACAGGAAAGGAAAAAGTCGGCGCAAACTGCCAGATGAACCAGCAATTGTCTGAATCTGGATGAATTCCCCTGAAAGCAATTTAAAAGGGGGAGCACATTGTGTGCGTAAAAACATTTCATGGTTTTATTAGGGTCAACGGGCAGACTACAATCTATTTGTCTTCTATTTTATCCAGCACATGCAGCTTCTATTAGACGGAACTGTCAGCAAAAGTGGGGATTATGTGCTTTTCTCAACATTATCTTTCGTGTTGCACTTGGACACATTTTCTTTTTTTTTATTTATTGACACGGGGGCGGGGGGTCTGAGTGTGTGCATGTGTGTGTGTGTGTGTCAGAACTAAAGACTTACACAGCTGCGCAAGTCTCACTCAATTCAGTTAGCGGAGCTCATGCAAATCAATATTGTGGACACATACCTTTTCTTTTGCAACCCTACCCCCACCAATACACACACACATACACACACACACACACATAAAGCAGATAAAAAGTGACTGAACAATAGCTGACAGTCATTTAATTGAAAATGTCTGTCGGTCTGGGTTATGTCATACCTGTATGCCAAGGTGGATGATAAGTCTTTATCAGGGACATTAACCACACACACTGTCTCACTCATTCACATGAATTTGGTCAATGCACTGACAGCCGACCTTCAGGGCATGAAACCACTGCTGCCTGAAGTCCGCTCCTTCTTCATGATAAGCTGGCTGCTGCCTGGATGTGACATGAGAGCTTGTTACTGGATGTCACCAGTATAAATCAATGATCCAGCAGGTAAAAGGCTCTCTTTTCCCCTTCAAATATAGAGATGCCCTTGGGGAAGAATACAGTGGCCACCAAGGGCTGTGACAGCCCAAAAGATTTACTCTGAACTGGGCTGAAAATTCCCAAGAAATGCAAATATTTATACAGGCCTGGAGGAACTTTGTTGTTGCATTATTTATGTTTTGTGTCTTCGCAGTGTTATTGAACCATTTGTTTTGGCTCACGATTCTGTGGTGGCTGTGTGGAGCAGGTTGCCGTCTTGTTTGTAAAGATGATGGTTCGATCCCTGTCTGAGAGTCACTTTGACACTTAGCATGGCAGCCTCTGCAGTAGGTGTATGAATGGGTGAGTAAATGGGTGAATGTGATGCGCTTTTATAGAGCAAACGCTACAGGCGAAACGCTTTGTTAGCTCACAATAAAAATATTTTTATTGTGAGTCATTTTCAGTGTTTTTAGACTTTTAGGGAATCTAAAGACTTTGAAAAAAAGGAAAAATTTAAGATCCTTGCAGTTTACTTGCCCTTTTTGCTCAAGGTAAGTACCAAACCTAGAAAAAAAGGCAATGCTGTTACAGAAAATTTTGTTTTGTCGTTTTTTGGCACAAAAAAAAATGGGAATATCCTCCTAAGCCTCTGCAAGTGGGATCTTGAGCAAGGCACTTTGAGCCTAAATGGCTGCTCAACAGCACCTGGGGAAGGCAGTATTCAGAGCAGGAGCTTACTTGGATGATGCTTGGAGAACAAGAGTGATTCATAATGTAGCCTATAACCACAGTGCACTTCTAAGGCATCTAAACACTGAGTTGAAGCCCTTTTTTTCTCTGTCAACATCTCAACTGTGAGGGCGTTTGGATCCCCAGCTTGTCCATCCTTAGTAAGGCGAAAATCTGCAGCAGGTGTTGAGCAGCAAAGAAGCTCTCTCTCTCTCTCTCTCTCTCTCTCTCTCTCTCTCCCTCTCTCTCTCTCCAGCAGGAGAGGAGCGCACGCTGTGCACAGCAGCAGGCGGAGATGAAGCGCCACTGACCCCCACCACAACACACACACACACACTCATCTGCGTCCGTCCACAAAGGCACCCAACCAGAGCCATGTCTACGAATAAACACACGACTTTCACGGAGGCGATTTTCCCCCCTTTTTCCATTTGTGCCCCGTCGTAGCGCGTCTCGAGGTTGGAACGAAATGTTCTGGATGTATTTTCTCCGGAGAGTGTGAAAGTGGAGGGAAGCGCAGTTAGCTGGAGCCATGTGGAGGGCGGACACATCCCTTGGTGGGAGCACCGCGGGCGAAACACGACATTGAGAGGGGGACAATATTTGCATCTTTCTTTCGGAGAAAAAGATCCGTCAATGAGGAAACACAGAGAGGGGAGATGGTAGAGAAGTAAGTGCGCTTACAACTAGTTTCAGTTCAGAATCCCATTGATAAAAAAATAAAAAAATAAAAGATGACAATATTTTGCACGACTTGTATTGCATCTCTTAATTATCCCTCTTTAAAGTGATAATAAAAAAGGAAATAAAAAATGTAAATATGTTTCTGGGTACTTATAATGACTTTCTCGTTCAGTTTATCGTCGCATCTCTTTTTCAGTATCATTCCTATTTTATAGTGCTGCATGCATTTTATTGTAAAAGTGCGACACTTTTGCATGTGATGCTTGATTTTAAGAAACCCGGACAGATCTGGCGAAAATTCTCGTGCAGTTGGGTTGATTATAATACAGAAATATATTAAAACAAGCTTCTGGATTTATTTCATCTGCTTCTGGCCAACCCTCTCCTTAAATTGTTTACTGTTCAATTTTAGGACCTCATGGGGGATTATGTAATTGCATCAACTGAAGCAAGCTGTTGGGGAAATGGGATTGTGACAAGAAGTTTTACATTTTTAATGAGCTTTCATTCAGTCGTTATGCTCTTTTCTAAGAGGATACCAGTCTGCTCGTTTTCCCTATTATACGGTTTCTATCATTTTTTATTGTATAGGCCTACTCAAAAAATAAATAAAAACAAGTTTGAGTATTTTATATTAAAGATCCCCATTTAGATTAAAAAAAAAAAACAGTATCAAGTTATCATATAACTTGTGTGCACAAATAGCCAGTCTTCAGAGACATTTTTAACATAGTTCTCTGTGTGAATGAAGAAACTCCCATGAAGGTAAAATAACAATTGAACTGTAATTAAAAAAAAATTACCCAAAAGGAAAACTATTTCAGAACAAAACAAAACTGTTAGCGTTACAATAGATAGCCTACCAACTTAACTGTTAGCTTAACAGTAAATACAAAACTTAGCTGTCAGCCAAACTGTGTTAGAGTGAGTGAGTAAACTAGATTCTACTGTTTCAAATACACAAGTGAAGGTCAATAATACAAAAATACCAGTCTGTAATGTTAGTCAAACTGTTTCCTATAAAGAGTCATTAGCTAAACTGTTTTAGAAACTAAACTGAACCTTAAGGTCATCACTTTGGACATTCAGCCTATTTGTACTAAAAGTGTTGGAGCACTAAAAATGGGTGATTGACATAATTGGCTTCCTTTCTCTCAGTGGCCGCACCTGACCTTCTTGACCCAAAGTCTGCCGCCCACAACTCCAAACCTCGCCTGTCCTTCTCGGCCATACCAGCTGTTCTGAACACTCCAGATGACGACGAGTGCGACACCCGGACTACCGTCATGAGGTGGAAAACTGTGTCAGCCATCTTCTTCCTGGTGGTGCTTTACCTCATTATCGGGGCAACAGTATTCAAAGCGCTGGAGCAACCTGATGAGACAGAGCAGAAGAATGCCATCCTTCGGAAAAAAATAGATTTCCTGATCATGCACTCCTGCGTGAACTCTTCCGAGCTGGAGGATTTGGTCAAGGTAGGTGGAGGCATCAACATCATAATTAACAAACCTTTTCTCTTCTGCAGGACCTTTTGCTAAGGACTGAATCTTACACTTCAGTCCTTCTTAAACTGTGTTTCATTTTGTTAGTATTTTTAAGGTGTGTGTGTGACACGGTTTATGGCTGGTTTTGGACCAGATTATTGTGAGCATTGCAGTTTTGGTTTGTTTTTTCAGGTTTTCTGTTTCTCTTGGAAGCATTTTTACAAATTCGACATTTTTTTAAACTTGTATACTTCAATTTCTTCAACTCTTTTTAGCATGTCTGAAGTCATGCTCCTTACCTTAACCACATGTTTACTATTTTAGTCAAAGGCTGCCCAAAATGTACCACAGAGGTCACTACTAATTAAACCCAGATCAAGTTCTTCGGGTCTAAACTAAATTCGGAAATGTGGAAAAAACTTATTGTAAACGCAAATACAAGCATTGCTGAATATGTACAAATAATGTAAAAGGATGAATCCTGTAGCCTAATAACTGTTTCAGTAAATTAAGCTCACTGTTGAACATGTAGTCAGTGGAAAGAGATTATCTCCAAAAAATATAAACCCTAAAAATATAGCAGGAGGAAAGAGGAGCATCAGAAATAAATGTTTATTATGAACATGATGAATGAATTGAAGAAAAGAACACTAAGATCAAGCTCTTCAGGCTAATCTTTCTGCAGATGGCTTTTATATCAAAGCTTTTGATGTTCAAGGACTTTTGCATTTTAATCATGTCCAAGGTTTGCTGAAGTGGCAAGTGAGCAAGTAAGAATGTACTGGAAGTATTTAAGTAAATACAGTATGTATATAAAGGTTAGGTAAAGATTCTAGGCCATGTGCATATGCCTCCCCCACATTGATCCTTCTTACGTGACGGTTGTATACTCTATGGCCTTAACGCTCCAAGTCAGACTTCCTTGTGTGAATTGCTACGTTTGTGTCTGTACAAATGTATGCATGGATCTGTGTGTTTGTGTTTGTCAGTATTCCACCTCTCCACCTCAAATATATTAAACACAGTAAAGTTTTGAACAGGCCTGACAGAGACACAGGCAGAGAGAGAGAGAATATATACATCCTGACTTAAGCCTACAACTTTGGCATCCAATCTACGCCATAGTGGCCAACGCCATTGTAGGCATTATACTCGTTAGTTGGTGTGTCTGTGTAACTCTGCAGTACTCCAGCTACAAACACAAGTTGGCAGTGCAATTTCTATGCTAGTTGTATCGCCAGTCTCTGCATCCTCCACATTCTCTGCTTGTTTGTGTACAAGAAACCATGGCGACTCAAACCGCTGATTATGTTGGACTTGGATATGATAAATATTGAGCAGCAGTTGAGGAAAATGCAATTATATCAAAGAAGAAAAGAGAGGAGACATCGGAGGAGAGTTTATGTGTTGAATGGATGGAATAACTTGGTAGCATTGTTAGCTCAGGCTACTAGTTAGCCTACGTTTAACACACAGAGGTTCATGATACAAAGAACATATTCATCGTATTGTCATAGTTCGACTCGGTATCCCGATGTTTTGCATGTGGTGCAAGCTCGGAGAGGAAAATTTAGACTAATCATAGAGCTTGCGGGCTGCGCCTTTGTGACTTGTACTGTAGTAACATATTGGAGGAGGAGCATTTCAGGTTACGTTTGTAGGCGTCTGCGTAGGTCCAGGGCTACGTGAACCTACCAGCATAGATACGACGCAGTACAGTCCTATAAGTCAGGCTTAAGGCCGAGAGAGATGCAGAATTGAAGAGAGAAAAATAGCAATAAATCCTGCCTGAGGAGAGATAGAGAAACACTGCACACAGACAGAAAGTCTGTAGGCATATACAGTATGTATGAAGCTGCAATTAAAAGCTCATCTCATTTAGCTGTATGTTCCCAAATTAATGGTTGCTATGGTGATGGAAACCACTCTTCACACTGGAAGGAAACCAGCATATACCCAGAGACAACCCAGACTTACAGCAAGGCCTCAGCTGACAGCCAGCTTCGTACCATAAACTTTACCCAAATCTTTAAGTACATACATTTTACATTACGAGGATGATTCAACGGCAAGTCCCTCACATAACCTTCCTGTTTGGCCGCATTGCTAGCCAACAGGCCAGTTCAACCAAACAACACCTGTTGAAATGTGCCTACTAGCAGAGAAGCATGTGGAAAACCTGGGAGGTAGAGTATATTTTTATGTTATTTTTTTTCTGTCATGAATGGTTGTTGAGAAATATTAACACATTTTTCCTTCTGATCAATCACAAATACTAAAAAAATTGATCTGTACTGATAAAGGTCCTTTAAAGAATATACATTTTATGTGAGGACTATGATCATCAGCTTGTTTACACTCAGATTCTCTTTAATTGTCAGTAAACACTCAATGTCTCTACACAGACCATACCAAAAAGTGAAGTGCAAAAGGCCACAATTACTTGATTGTATCCCTAGCATGTGAAAACATGTGCACTAGAGTGGCCTATGTAAAAAAACAACAACAACAGCACAAACCATAAATCTATACTGTGACTGCCAATGCACTTCATTGTCTTTCAGCAAGTCTGTAAATGTGAAAGGAGATTCTAGAATCCAGCTTAATGACCGCACATGAAGAATACATTTTTAGAACAAATCAATTATTGGTTGAAGTTGGGCTGTGGTGGTACTGTTTTGTGGGGAAATTGGCATATGCCTTTTCCAAAAAAACCCTCAAACTTTAAGACGGAATAGATTGTAAAAAAAAGTATCATAGTGACTTATTAAACCATTCTCCAAAACCACTTACATTATATCAGTATAAGTGTTGGAGAGAACCAGCGATGATAGACAAACATCTTGTTATTAACTTTGTGAGACAGTGGCAGTTTGGCGAGACCATGGTTTAGTTTAAGTAAGTAGAATTAAGTAGTATACTGATGTCCACATCCACAGAATAAAAGATCGGGTGCGTTCGAATTGTCCCTCCTATCTGTAAACGACTCCACCATACCCACTTCTAAATTGTCAGGCTCCAAAAACTGCTTCCTTCATTGAGTGAGCCAACAGACGTAACTGGGTTCACAACTCAGTATGGATTAGTGGATCTCACCATCAACCCAACTTGTCAGGGCTGATGAAAAGCATTTCCTCTTGGGGAATCTAGCTGGTGTGGCGGAGATGTGAATGATGATTACTTCAGTAATGTACCAGAGCTGAAAGGTCTTTAAGTCCCAAGGGAAGCTGATTTGTCCACCCATGCTTATTTTGGCCCCTTGCTGAACCATTTTCCTGATTCTGTTCAGCACAAAAAAAGGACCTCCGAATGTCCAAATGTCCTAAAGGCTCAAAGCAAGAGCTATATATGAGCAATACCAAATGCTAAAGCTTCTATTTTATTCTGTTTACAATGTGCAGAATGTATCATTATCATTACAAAGCAGCTCATTATAATGAAGAAACTGTCTTGCTGCTTTAACAGGATGAGACCGTCCACATTATATAAATGTAAAAAATACCACGGACATGTGAAGTCTTGATCTTATTTAGTGTAGCCAGAGTATGACAGTGAGTGAGCATTAAAAATGAACCATGAAATGAAGAGCTCAGCCAAGCCTTCCTTTTACGCTTTTAGCCCGTATAGCCCTATCTTTCTTCAGCAAGTATAGCATAGCGTAAGTAAGCGATCTGTCCTGTATGTGGGCTTTGAGCCATTTGAATCACACTGGCATTAAGATGAGCACAATCCAGCTGGTTTCTGTGTCTGAACTCTTACTGCAACGAGTTAGACGTATTCCTTTTTAAAATATTTAAAATATTAGAAAATGTTCTTACTTTAATAAGATACTTGATTAATAATGATGTCTCTTGCTGATGCATCTCTGGGCTGCATGAATGGCATAGGCCTAATTTGTAGCACTTCAAAATGATGTGGTTCAAATTTGCCATCTTTGATATTAACCATTCAGGAGATTAAGACAGTGAGTCTGTTAGTGAAATGTGTACTGTTAGTACGTATTTTCATGGATTCATTCATCTTGATAATTTTGTGGACATATCTTTAAATTGTGTCAACCATCTCACAGTAATTCTACTTTTGGGTCTGTGAAGCTGTAACCTTATATGGGTGAAGCACCTCAGTAGTAGCAGATCTATAAATGGATAGGAGCCAACTATATGTTGTCAGCAACTGTTTGTTAGACAGAGAGTCTACATCTGATACGTATACAAATCAGTGTCATGTCATCTTTATTGTTTTATAGTGATGTACCCAAATGGAAAGGAATTTGTGGGCTGTACCTTCTAGGAGAATATAAGCCACACTGTGTGATGAAGACTTTGCTATTTTGCCCATGATGGCCACTTTGCCAATGATTGTCAATGATTGTGTGATCTTGGTCAGCATGGGTCAGCGATGGTCTGCACTTTGTCAGCCATGTGTGTTGTGTTTCTGTGTTGTCTGACCATGGCTGAATAAATCTAAGATGATCCACAGTCTGTTTCACGATTTCATCATTGTTCATCTACGACAGAAATAACCCCCACCTAACATGTACTGTAGTTGTTAGTTAAATATTCATGGTTTGATTGAATACAAAGTTGCTAACTAAGTGGAACCTTATTTTTGTTTTGCTGGTTTCAAATGAAAGCTCCTCTACATTGAATTGTCCTCTGTGCTGACATTCAGTGACATTCACAGTATAGACTCTGACCATATTAACACTGACCCAAGCTGACATAAAGTACTTTTTATTAAAGTTGAATTCCCTCACTGTATATAAGTGAGACTGAAGGGTTGCACTGAGAGGGCTAGTATGTGTTGTTAAGATGCTTTGTGTCATATTTGGACACTCCTGTGGATACTGTGGACAAAGTCGAAACCTCTTTTCTCTTTGCTGCCTTCGTCTTGTACATATTGTAAGTAGTATTACATAACAACTACAAAAACCTCATCCTGCTTTCTTTTAACAAAAGTATCACTCACTGTGAATCTCTGCTGTTGTTTTT